AGGGGGACAGACTGAGATGCATATACCAGATTACCTTTCTTGTCGCAGACCGGCACTCGGTCATAAAATCACGAGTACAATATGTAGAAGTGTGGAACACATATCCCTACGTATATTCCATATGATATTCTAAATAATACGACATATAATATGCACCTCCGGATCGGATGCTCTACTATTCTTGTCCCTCTTGATTTCACGATTAAAGTCCGCTCATTATCCAGCGGTGGACGGCGATGCTTTGATTGATTAGTCTCCTCGAGTCCAGCTCAGAAACATAGGCTTATAAACGCGGAGACTGTTGAATTAGGAGCGTCGTTACCCCGCTTTACCGAGCGCGACGAGCAACATTGGCGGCGACACGTCTCCTTTCGCAGACTTACGCTCCGCTCAATCGAGCTGTTTGGATAGGGCATTCAGCCGGTTGCCCCAAGAAAATCGGGGCTTGAATCACCGTGCCGCTTGCCCGGAAGCGTTGAACTCTATTCTCCAAGCGGATGATCGAATCACTACACACCCCTCCCCTCAAGGGCCTCCGACTCGCTAATGCTGCTTAAGAAACTCGACCGAGCAATGCGTGTCTCAGAAGCCCAACGCTTGAGTGACACGGTCCATACCATCGGACTATTCGTCGTATTCCAATAGCGATCTGTCGCTTTCGTCGCTTCCACGGGAGCTTGTGACCCAGACAGAGTGGAAATCCTTCCTCGCGTGGTTTGTGGGGCAGAAGACTACGGCCTACGTACCGGATACGAAGCCGTTTCTGTCCGTGGGATCTCGCCTCTACGCGCTTGTAGTCGATGTGGAAATGCGGCGATACCGGAGCCACCGTCAACCCCCCATGGCATTCCAGTGCCCCCAGTATTTCCATCCGGCTACCGACCAATGTTCCTCAGCTTGACGTAGATGATGAATTCTATATATGGAGAGAAGAAAGCTCAGAAAATTCGAGAGACTCCTCTGATCCCTTGATCGTGTGGTCGATGAGCCTTGATTTCCCAAATAACAGTCGGAGATAGAGAGCCGGAACGATTTATCAGTCGATGGGCGACCACGCACCACGCAGTTATGGAGGCCTGCGTGGCTTCGAGCCTCTCAAAAAGTTTCTCAGAACCTGGGAGAGATAATAGGCTCCGTTCGATGTGGACGCGGATTACGGTTAAGCGGGCATCCCTTCGCAATTTCGCCTAAATGGCCAAGTTTTCAAGACACAAAATAAAAGACGAAGAATCGAGACACACTCACGTCGTCTCCGCTCACCGCTACCGCAAGCCATCGCTGGCGTCGCCGCAGCCGCCACAGCAACCAGCGCTGCCGCTGCCGCCACCTAGAACGAGAATTACCGGAAACGGAGTAAGCGGACAAGAAGGAATGATCTGCAAACTTGTGCCACTGATGCGACAGAGAAATATTCCACTTTTGATGTGATGAACACGAACGACTTCCAGGTTGCAATCGTTGCCCATTGTCAGCTTTGCTTTTTTTCTCTTTTTTTTCCGAAGTCATTCTCACATCGACTTCTGGATGCCGGATCGTGATCGCGACCGGCGAGAATGTGACCGAACAAATCGGTGGCGTCTGGCTGCAATGTAAGGCTCGTGGAAAAATCCGCGGGACAGAGTTGATACTGCGTCGGAGAAATCGAGCTGTACTGCTTCAACCCCTTGAACAGCGACTTGAATTGACCGTGGCGAGAGAATGAGCGCGATCTTCCGCGCCGATGGAGATGATTTATAGTTCAAAGAGTCCATGTCCCACGACTCCTCTCTGAATCATAAACAAGAGCCCCTGGGCCGATCTCTCCCACACCATCCCGGTATGATCCTGTACCAGACGGACTGAAGCAGGCTCCCAATGATGATGATATTCGGCGCGAACGCTCCTCTCACGGCATATGCACCGTGGGAATCGATAGTGCACTGAAGCAGACTCGAATCTTCTGAGAAATTCCTCCCGAGTTCGCGAATGAGCAGAGACTCCAACAGACGTATCTCGTCCGCCGTTATTCACAGTCTGGAAGCCCCGCGAAGAATGAAGCCGCTCAGCTTACATAGCAGGAAAATTCTGAAAAAGCAACTCGGTGTCCCATATATGCATGTCATTCCCTGAGAGCAAGTTCCAGGCTTAGTCAACGAGAGTTTCACTGGGATGACGGCGGACGGGAAAAATGGTGAAAGTGAAAGGCCGAAGGTGAGCGTAGTTCTGTCACAGATCGCCCAATCTTTCCAGCGAGCGGTGAAATGCGCCGGCCGAGACGAGCCGGGTCGGGCTGCCAGATTATTTCTCAAGACAAACGGAGACATCCCGGCGACCATTTATGAAGGAATGAAGTCAGTCAGCCGGGAACTCTGGAAACTGTCAATTTCCGAGGATTACACGGCGAACGCGCGGAGCTCCCCTCCTTGTACCAGAAGGAATGTGACATCCGACGCTTCGTGGAAAGTCGAATTCTCCAACTTCAGACCATTGCTGAATTCCTGACATTCCACTGTCTTACGCATAACGTCTTGTCAGAGTCAGTCTCGTTCCAGCATGAGTTCACCAATGAAAGTGTCGGCGGTGGCAATGGACACGCCGACACTACGGCGATCGAGAAGACTCCGAATACCTCGGGAACGGTACTTTCTGAGGGTTCATCGATTCGTCCGTTTGTCCGCGATTTGTGCGTCCGTCCGTAGGTCTGCTGGTCCCTCGTTCTGGCCGCTGCGACGTTTCCGTTGATCCGGGTGGGCATAAGTTGCCACGAGGTTTTGCCGACGCTCCGAGGGTTTGCTTTCCATCTACTGGGTCAGTCATCCAGCGACGGTTCCCTTTCCTGCAGCAGCGCTCCGGGTTTAAATCCGAAGGCGAGGCTCGCTGCGCCAGAATCCACGTCGTGAGCAAGGAAACAGGACGCCAGTGGCGTTCAACTCCCAGGATACTCGCAGGCTACCCGGAGTGTGTTGTGACTGCAGCACCCGTGTTAACGTGCCAAACTCCGTGACAACGATGCGGTTCTTAATTTCGGTGAGCATCGTGATAGAGCATCTCTCCACCGGCGTACAGGTTCAGCAGTGCGATCTTTCGAGACCTCAACTACTCTGGATTAAAAGCGAATCAGTCGAGGGCGCCCTTGTCATCTGATGCGGAGCATCGAGTGAATGGAGCTCACTTCTGGCCGTCCCGGCTGGAAGAGATCCATCGATCCTCTATCGGCTCATTTCCTCAATCACCTCGGTCAATCACTGGCTCTGTGATTATCCCCGTGGTGATCTGTGGCTCCGGATCTTCGGAGTTTTTGGAGCGATGCAATTCCTTCATTTTCCGAGGGAGGAGCTCCTTCCGGAACATATGCGCGGGGAAAAACCAGTATTGACCGGTTATGGCAATGCCGGAGCAATAGTTCCGGACACTTTTGTAGCCAAACCGAACGGGATACTGTTGCTCGAATATGCTCCCCACCGTTCGAGAATCGGTTCAATCGTGCCCTGATCGGAAGGGCTCGTGCCCGAGATGACGGTGTCTTTCTCTGACGGAAGACCCGGTCACCGGAACATGGACCTGATGGGAGCAATCTGTGAAGTCCACGTGAAAGATCAACTTGAAGCAGGATTTTCTTCCTCACTTCAGACGGAGCTTCTGAACGTTTCCGGCTCGTCCAAGATAGTATATCGCGCTTTCTGTTGACAATGGGCTCGTTTATTTTGAGACTCCTTCATTACGGTGTCCATTCAGACATCCGAGTTCCATTCTCATGCATTGTTTTAAGAAGAGTCGTTGACGGAGCAGCCCGAAGAAGACCGGGGAAATCACCGGGAGCGAGCTTTCCCTTTCTGTAATAGGCGATTAGGATACTCGAGCGCCGCTCCTCGGGTCGTTGATGTCCGAAGGCAATGAGGGGAAAAAGTCCCCGATTCTTCCTGATGTCGGCCAATGACTGCAGTCGTGACGAGATGCCCCCCTGCCCCCTTCCCTCGGAAGCTGATCGCGTGGTCAAAATTTACACCAACGTTGTTTTGATTCTTTTCCGCTGCTCTTTCTTTTAGTTCACTCTCATGTTCGTGTCGTCGGCAATCTTCGAGAGGAAGAAAAGGAAAAACTACTTTCCCTTATGCTGCTACTTTTGTCCGTGAAGCTGTGTTTTTGAGCAAGCGGGCGAGCGGACCAGTTTCGGGAAGAGAGCTCGACCACCATTACGTTCGGCTTTCACGTCGGAAACGTTACCCGGAATTCTGTCTGTCTATCTATATGTCTGTCTGTCTGCCTGACTGACTGACTGATTCGCCAGTCGGATTGACTGACTGACTGACTGACTGACCGACCGGTCTGCCGCAGCGACCGCGCTTAGGCTGCACCATTGCGATCATGTCGATGATGAAGAGCCCGATGATGAGAATGATTGCCGCTGGGCTGACGACGGCGATGATGATGATGTTGATGACGGACTTGAACCGCTTGCCCATTCACTTCCTGCTTGCCTCATTCAGTGTGTCCGATGACGATTTTGCTTCTGCCTCATCGCCGCAATAAGCACGGATGGACATCGAAGTCAGCAGCAGCAGCAGCCGCAGCTGGAGTTTACGATCGCGAGAGATTCCGCTCCGTAGGAAAAACGATAAAATAATTATCGATTGGTCCAGATCTAGATGCGATCGTTCAGAAGAAGATCAAAATCTCGTTCGCAGAAGACTCCACTGAAATGCTCGAGTCACCATCTCTTCCTGTCTCTTGTCCCCCATCCGGTGTGCGTCTTCACATCTTGATGCCTCTGATTCCCGGCGCGCCGTCGCGATCCACTCTCGGAGCGACTTCGCATCGCCAGTCGAAGGTCTCCTCGATCGCGAAGAAGACGGTTAGCCGATAAGTGAAATGGAGCCGAGGGCATTTCCAAGAGAGTTCGGCGAGCGTGGAGCTAATTCGTGCAAGCCTGCGTTGCCTCCCAAGTCGTTGGCTGTTTTTTCCAGCAAGATTCGGAAGTTGGCGAGATTCGCTTTGTTCGTTTTCGCGCCTCCGTTCTCATCATGATCATCAGCATCGCCGTAGTCAGCAACGGTAGCAGTAGCAGCGGTGGTGGTGGTGGCGGCGGGAACATCATCATCCTGTTGCTCGTGATGAAGCTCACGGTGGCGATGATGATGATGATCATCATCTTCGCCATATGATCGTCAGCAGCAGTAGCACCATTATTTCTCGCGGATTATTCTGCTTCCTGCTGCCGCCGCTTCCGATGCTAACACTTAATGGTCAACGACGCCGCTCTATTGACTCGGCTCATATTTGCGTCAGGAATTGAGAGCCACCCGCTTCCGCTTCTATTATCAGTCCGTTCTCATGCTCCTCTCATTGTTTATGATGATTGCGATCCAGAGACGATCGAACTCTTCCGATCTCAGTCCCAATTATTCATTCTCATTCAAATCTTTCATCATCGAGCCATGGACGATGGTCTTTAAGCAAGAGCTCGTCGCCGACCGTTCGTCGTTACCACCGCAGGGGAATTTTCCCCGAAGCCTTAGGAAGAGGATCGAGGGAGTAAAGGGAACGGCGACTCGATGAATTAATTCGAAATTGTAAACAGTCCTTTCGTATTCCATGCATCTCGGGAACGTGTTGTCAAGCGGACCCCCTCCGAATGGTCAGCCCATGAATGGAGTTGATCATCATTTTCTATGCCATGTTTAGCCAAAGCCCGCCGACATTGACGCCGCGGTGCGTCTCACCGCTTGGCCTAGTGGCCTGTATAACGACCGATTTCTCTCGCTCGCTGTATTTTCTATCTATCTATCTATTTACCTAGCAAGTCGCCAGCCAGCCAGCGAAAGAAGCAGGCGACTGACTAGCCATTTATCTATCTATTTATCTATCTATCCATCTGACAGACGGCGACACAGATACCGGCACGTAGCGATCGGTGTCGATGTGACCAAGAAATTGACAGACTTGATGGGACCGACCGAGCAGCCGCGTTTGTTCATCGTTTTTCTGATGCTGTCGGTGGTGTGACTTCCTCCGCTGCCCGGCTCCCGGCCGCTGGCAGCGCCTCGAAATACAACAGATCTTCGTCATGGAAAACGATTCTGGAGCTGGTTGGCGGCGGCGGGCTCTCGGCTAGACGTGCTTGCTGCTTTAGCGCTTGCGATATGTGGGTCATCATTTTTAATTGGCGCGCACACGACCGGACCCAGAACCTCCACCACCAACACCACTAGCGAAAAAGGAACCAGTCGAGGAGCCAGCAGTCACCCAGTCAGTAAGACAGACAGTCAGTCAGTCAGTCAGTCAGCCGTGTCGACAGCGAGACACGAATCCGCCCCGGTAACCAGATTACCAGAAAGTCATATGCCGTCTATCGACGGATGTCGCTTCAAATGCGTCGCTGACCTGGATGAGACACTGTGGAGCGTCAGTACACAGCGGGTCTCCTGGATTCTCGGTATTTCCCCTCCTGCGTACATCGATTTCGCTCCGCTGACATCTCTGGCGGGGACTCCGCGATCTACGGGCGGGGATTACGCCCCTACAAGACGATTCTGACTCGAGATTCCCAGTTTTTTCTTTTTGGCGTGGCCCTGACCCCAATAAGAACCTCGTGTTCATCGCAGAGGGCAAAATAGTTCAGATATAACGATTTCATCGAATCGTCAGGGAGAGATTCCTTCAGAATTTTTACTGCTCGACGCTTTGGATATTGGGCGCGAGGCTGCTTCTCTTGGAGTCAGAATCTCTCATGAGTCCGGTCTTCTGAATTCCTTCCCGGCGCAAGGCCATGACCCAGTGAGCCAGAAGAAGGAGGAACAGACAAGTCCGTATTCCTGATTTCGGCAAGTTTATCCGGTTCTTTCGACGATGCTCGATGTCGCGGCCGCCGCTGCGAATCTGTCGAGGTACGGCTCGCCTGATCATTAGAGCGGTCGTCGTCGTCGACGACGGCTGACTATCCCTTCCCGATGGTGGGCTCGCAGTCGATTCGTTTCCGTTCATACGCCCGCCGCGGCTGCTTCCAGAAGCGTTGGACGCCTGACACAGAAATGCCAACACGGGAGATAATCCTCTCAATTAATTTCAGTTTCTCCTCTCGTTTTCGTTCCGTGCGCGGCTGATATTTGCTCTATTTCGAGTATTTGGGCCAGACTGTAGAATTCGATTCGCTGCCAAATCCTTTTCGATCAGCCGGCTTTGCCGGCTGACACGGCGGATACGCCAGATGAGACTTATGTTAGATATCCGCGGCTGGCGGTGATGATGGATGACTAGATTTATTCGGAAACAGAGACTTCCAGAAGGCTCAGTGCTCGAGGAAGGTACTCGCGTCCGGTTGTCCCTTCTCGAAACAACCGAAAACCTTTCCCTAACGACTTCCGTCCTCAATTACAGATCGTTCCCTGTGCCGCAGTGCTCCTAGCCCAGAATGTGGGCGCACAGAACTACTATCACTCCGAGGGGAGTCCTCCCGTCTTCCCCGGGGGACCCGGAGGCAATCCAGGATATGGTTACGTCGTATCTCCGACACCCAAACCGTCCCGACCTTCGTTCTTCAGAAACCCTCTGGCCGCTGCCAGTAATCTGCACAAGACCGTGATCGCTGGAATCCGCGCTCCGGCCTTCCTCAGCAATCTGCTGCCGTCCGCCAGCGCTCCTCGGCCGAGCTTCTTCTCTTTCGCGAAGCCCCCGCGCGGCGGCCCGAGCCCGGGGGGTCCGGGCCCTTCTTTCGGACCGTCTTTCGCCTCTGAGAGCTCCGCCAGCAGCCACTATCCGTCGTTCTTCGGACGTCCGGGGTCCGCGTCCGCTTCGGGACCCATTTCCTACTACAGCTCATCTGATTCCTCATCATCCCCATTCGCTGGCCTGCCGCCCAACGTGATTTCCGCGCTCCAGAGCGGCCAGTTCGATGGATCTTCGATGTCCTCCGGATCGGACCAGCAAGAAGCAGCCACCAGCGTCCACGAGATCTCCGGGTCCCCGTACGATCGGGCCCCGCCCCGTATTCGTCACGGCTACGGATCCAGTGACGACTCGGAGATTTCCTCTGCGAGCGGAATCGCGCCCTCTCTTTCCGGACCCTCGTCCTCGGGCTTCGACCCTTCGATGTACGCGTCGCAAGGATCGCAGGCCTCCGTAGCTCAGGCTCTCATGGCTCAACAGAGCGGGTCGTCCGGAGCGTCCGGGGCCCCGTCCCAGATCGCCGGCTATGACATCGGCGTGCCAGTCACTCTCGGCTTCCAGACTCACTCCAGCCAAGGTCAGGGCTCCGGCAGCGTCGGACCCGCATATCAGATCGATACGTCATCCCTGCAGTATCCCTCGAGCTATCAGCAACAGGTCTCTGGACACCCAAGCCAGCAACAGAGCTACTCGGGACTCGCCACCGGCTATGGCTCATCCGCTGACGTCAGCAAGCAACAGTCGAGCGGTTACGGACAGGGTCAGACCTACGTGGTCGGATCATCTCTCTCGTATGACGGCAAGAGCCCTTCCGCGACCTACTCCCCGTCGGGTAGTCAAGGGGCCTACTCATCCGGCTACAGCTCCGGGCAAGGCAACGAGGCTCTCGTTCGGGCCCTCAAGGATTACGCCAACGGTAACGTGAAGTACGTTCCCGGCAAGCCCGCAGTACCGATCAACCATCAACTCCCTCAGTCTAACCACGCAACCTCCACGAGCTACTCAACGTCTTCGTCGACTTCGTCGAGCTCTTACGCTTCCCCCGTCTCCTCGAAAAGCTCGAAGTACGGCTCGTCGAGCGGAAGCAGCTCTTACTCAACACCTGTGAAACCAGTCGCAGCTTACTCCAGCCCCGTGAAATCGAGCTCGATCAGATACTCCTCGAACAGCGGCGGCCTCTCATACGCCGAGAGCGCTCCTCAAGCAGCAAAATACGGTCAGAAAGCCGCATCGTTCGAGTCTACGAGAACAGTTGGTTCTTCCCTCAAGTTCGGGGACAGCCCGAGCTCTGCTGCTGGAGCTTCCTCTTCCTCGTCGGCGTCCTCATCGTCGTCATCGGCGGCAGCTTCCGCTTCGAAGAAGTCTAGTTAAACGCTAGTTACAATGGGTTCTTAGGCTTTTCTTCTATTCTGCAATTTCCATACTTTCATTCCATGATTTCTCTGCTCTACGATTTCAATTCAGAACTCTGGCTGGAGCTTTTCTTTGGGAAACTCATTCTCTCCCTATCTCCTACACTCCCCCTGACTACCCTCCGGTCTTCTCCTACACTGTGGACTTTCCCTCCCCCTAATTTATTCTATCACCTTTCTCACCCTTAGAAAAGATTCTATTCTCAAGTCATTTCCATTTCATTCCCTGGAATTTTCCTCATGACGAGTCGGTTTTCAAGCTGCTATTTCCACTTTCACATGAAACGCTCGATTCCTTCTCGCGAGCGCCTTGACTGAATTTCCTGATTTTTTTCTACTCTCCGTCTATAGGCTCTATATTCTCTTCTGCAGTCGGATTCGATCTGAAGTACTCCGTGGGAACTGAGAGATCAGCCTGTCCTCCTAGTCTTACTCCTTTAGATTCCAGTCTGCGTTCTGCAACTCTCTTCCTAATTTCATCTGCTACTGTCTTTCACGTTCTTCTCTCTCGCTCTCCCTTCCTCTCCTCTTATTCCATCACTCGATTATTTATCCAATCCAATCTATCTAATCCACTATACCCTGATCTTCTCCGTTCCGTCGGAGGGATTTCTGGAGGGATCCGTCTGGGCTTTCTCTCTTCCTCCGACTGGCAGGCATATCCTCCCTCTGCCTCTGACGGATTCCTCCTCGTTCTTCCTCTACGAAAACCGACTCGGCTCACATCCGACCATAGCTGCTTTCCTTAGTGAAGATTTCCAACGTTACTCAAGAGACGGACGAGCTTCCTTCCGATTGGAAACAAATCCCCCTAGGTGCGGGCACCGCGGCGGGACTTGCCTCGATGACTGGCCCCATGTCCGCCTCTCGACTTTGACATCGATGATAGAATTCGGCGCCTTTTTGTGGCGTTATGTTTTGAGTCCTCTATTTTGTGTTTGAGCGGCCCGTCTCGACATTCTCTCTCCAGGTCTGACCTGCCTCTCAGAACGCTCAACGGGGCCGATCTCGGGCTGTTCACACTCTATAACTGAATGTAAATAATTTATTAAGACAACGAAAAACACAAAATCACCGTAAAAATAATAATCATATCATTAATAATATTAATGACGAGTATGTCAATGATCACGATTTTCGGAAACCGAGGCGACGATGAACTCGATATCGGCGAACAATAATTAATGAGTTTAATAATGGTTGTGAGGTTGTATGTCGTGTGGCCCCATGTTATTTAATCTCCACTGGCGCGATGTTGTCGACGACTCGCTGATGGTCGAAGCCCCGCTCTTCGAACCTGTTCGATGGACCGCGGAGAGCCGTGCTTCCATGAACATGTCGCAAGGGATGCGCCCTGCTCATCACTCCGATATTTATCTTCTTTGTAATGATTAATAATGAGGGTGTCGCTTTTCTTGCGAGAAGGCTTGACGCCAAAGACTTCAATCTTTCATTTATGTACATATACAAATCCCGTGCTTCTCTTCTCGTATCCTCTACTTCGCTCTTCATTCCGCTCGGACATCTCGAAACTCCTCCTTCTCTTCCTTCCCCCCACTCTCCGACTCTCCTACTCCTTCTCTCTTCTTCGGTGATTCTTGCTCAACTCTACTTCCTTGCCTATTCCTCTCTAAGTGCGATATCGTGATGGTGATCGAATTCAATAAAGTTTGTAAACGTAACGTACTTCTCGTCCTTCTCAGACTTCGCTTCCGTACACTATTTAGCGTCAGTCATCATGCCTCATGCTTCACAGTGGTGAACGGAACTAGGAACATGAGGGCAATGAACAACAAGATCACATCCCTAGTACGACACGGGAAATCACAGTGCGCCGACATGTCGGCAGAAGGCTCGGGTTTTGGTCTGAGCTCCGGAGTAGGTTTCGCGAGCCTCATTAAAATCGGGGTTTGATGTCGAACGAGCAGTCTGCCTTCACCATGTTCGCTTCTCAATTGAAACACCGGGATTTTCGTGGACGGCTAAAGAATCACCAGTGAAGATCTAATCTTGCTGCAACTGAATCCTTATCAAGGATTTCATGATGGACACGAGGCGACGCGACGGCTTGAGTCATTCCGACCGTTCCCCTCCGATTTCGTCAGCGCAATGAATAAACTCTTGATACACGATCACAGGGATTCGGACGATGCGATTCCGCACCCAGCGGAGGAACTTGGACTTTTAATCGGATCCGAACGCCCAGACGAATGTGTCAAAGCTCGAAATCCCTGAAAAAGATTCCCCCGTTCGCCTCGTCTGTCCAGTTTCACAAATTCATTCGTTGGCAGACTCAAGATGATGGGAACGCTGCAAAGTCCGCGTACGCGAAAGCCCAGCTGCCATGTGTACACAGGAGATGCAGTTCACACGGTCATGCCCGAAGCTGACGATGGTCCGATGGTAAGGCTTGTTTGTGCACTGGCCATTCGAATACTTTCCCAGGCATGGCGCCGGACTCGACAGGGGGCATTCTGCACTGGAAATTCAGCAAATTTGAATCTCGGAACCCCGTCTTCGAAAACCCATGAGTCGCGGACAGTTCCGAGCCAAGCTGAATCGCAGTCCTGGCCTACCAGGATATACCATATATGTTCTCTGTTCGGATCCGTGTCCTACAAGCGTAATACAAAGGAGGAGGGAGAGCTCCGTGCTCACGACATTCGCGCCGGGAGAATAAAGTCAAAGCCCCCTTTGAAGGGCAGTGCCTGATCTCAAATGCAGACACAGCGAGCATGACTCCTCGGTGCGTCGTATCATGACTGAATGGAGCACACTGCTCCATTTTCGGTACACGTCAAAAGGACAAGTTGGAGCTGTACCTGGAATGAGTGAATTTCGAGTCGTTAAGTCGTCTCCGGTCATTCGTACCAACGGGGAGTGAGTCTGCGCAGTTCGGGGAAGCTTCTCCCCTCGAAGATGTTTGCCCTAGTGCCAAGCAACCCAGCGAACCGCCCGACCGCTCGACTGTCTACCCACCTACTCATCTACCCCACAGCGGAGCGCCAGCTCGGTCGGTGATTATTCCGCGATGGACGCGCTCCAAAATCCTAAACTCTAGCAATCAAAACTTCGCGGCTGGCTGGTCAACTTTAACGAAGCTTATTTCTGTGTTTCCAGTGTTCCTTACGAACAAGTCGTTTGTGAAATCCATTCAAAGTTGCCGAATCGCGAGGGGACGTCGAGCGCTTCTGTCTTCGACTTGACGGAGATCGAGGAAAATATTCTAATCTGAAACATTCGTAGTCCGGCGAGAATTTAATCGTGCCGACGCGAGTCACGAAGACTCGTCCCCCTGACGGATTCTGATAACGTACCGGTAGGGTCCTCCTCGTTTCGACATCCGTCACAAGTCAAGCCATTGTTCTTGAACGTTTTGCCCGCTGCTGGTCTAATTACTGAAATGAAATCCGGAGCGGAAAGAATCAGGGCTCGAATCGTTCCCTCCTCGCCAGTATTCTCCTTAATCTGGTTTCAAATCGATTTCCTCGTGTAGTTGATTGGAATTCGGTAACTGGACATGTCGTCATTCGCGGAACAAGTAACTGCTGGAAAAACAACTGCAATCTGCGAAGCGATTTTCGCTCGTTTGTTAGCTGAGGGCTCCGCTCATAGTTTCCGTTGAATTCATCGGAATTTCGGCAAGATTTCACGGGATTGCGCGTGTGAGATGGGACGTTCCCTCTCGGACGCGGGATGGGGAGGGACGGCGAGTTTTTTTACGAGGACTAACCCATCGTTTCTAATATATCGAGAGCCGCCTCGGAGCGCTTCTTACGGATCAATCGAATACTGACGCCCCTGCCCGTATCGAAGCTTTCGCCGAGCTATTCGGAGCAGGTAGCTTCACCCGTACGGTTCCTGCCCATCGAATGCTGCGCCGGTCAGAACAAGAGTCAAGCTGATCGGGATGCCTTACGACGAGAGACGGCAGAATGCTTAGTCATTGTTGCAGATACATGTGTCAGATTTATTATCGGGAGCATCCGAAGGTCACACTACGAAGACAGAGCGTTCAGCTGACTATCCGCTTTGATCTGAGCCGGTCCCTCGCAATTTATGCTCATGGAATGTTCCGGCAATGAAGTCGCTGACAGAAATGTTTCCAACTCCTTGAGGGAACCAGCGAGGAATGCACTGCCGAACACGATTGAACGAAGTCAAAGGGCTAGCGCGCTCGAGGCTTTCCCGAGGCATGCGACTCCATGCACTCCCACGGAGTCGTTACATTTCTGATCGGAGGACAGGACCGGGAAGCTGACAAGGAAATTCTCCATGGAAAATGAGGAGCGACGGATGAAAACATAGTGCACGTTTCATCAGAAAAATCTCCGAAGAGCCAGCCAACCAGCCGTTCTCAGCAGTCCCGAAGCTTACAGATTTGGGGAGCACCAGGCGGATCTGAATGCGTAACGAGTATGTGGAGTCGAACCTACTGCCTTGAGAATCGTTGCCATTCACAGCTTCCGAAGAAATCATCCGCGGTTCGGGCTCCGCGTCGATATGCTCTCGTCCCGAGTCGTAAACACGCGCGTGGAAAACGTGCCGCCATCTATTGCAGGATCTCCTGGATTTGCGTCGAAAGGCGGATTTTTCTGCGATATGAGAACAAATTATTCGTTGGGATGGTCGATGGTTCCTCGCAAAGACTTATGCCCAGATGCTTCGGAAGCGCTTCACAGAAGATTCCCCCTTCCCGACGGCACACTATTCCTCTCGATGGAATCACTCATCCTCGTACGGTCTCCTCGCTACACGCACCACGGAGTCGAACATTTCCCTTGCGGCTCCACTCGCGGTTCGCCGCCGAGCTGGGTAGCTTCGGACATACTCCTTTTGGCTAGGAACAAAGGACGGGCCTCCGCTGCGCCGATGCAGCTTGAAGCGAGATTCGTCCTTACCTGTCCGCATCACAGACAGGAGTGATCAAAGTTTGAGTTTCCCGGTCCTAACTTGAAC